CCACTACCACTACCACTACCACTACCACTGCCACTGCCACTACCACTGCCACCACCACCGCCACTACTACTACCACTACCACTACCACTACCGCTACTACTACCACTACTACTACCACTACTACCACTGCTACTACTACTACCACCACTACTACTACCACTACTACCACTGCTACTACTACTACTGCTGCTGCTGCTGCTACTCCTCTCAACTCCCACGAGTGATCAACATGAAACTTCTCCCTAGAACATCCATAGATTATCCAGCAAACAGGTGATGAGAATACTCAACCTGATCAGGTAGAAGTTGCTTTGTTGATCCAACACCAAAATCTCATCACTAATTCACAAAGAAATGTGTAGCAGTTAGAGCAAAGAGTTAATAATCAGGATCTTTACTTTGTCAGTAAATACCTTTTGTGATTACAGCACATATTTCCCTCCTCACCACTTGATCACTCTTAGAATTTGAGTGAGCTGTGAATCAAATAAAGTTGCTGTATTTTAGGATGGGGAAAAAAAGGTGAAGTATACTGAATAGATGAGAGTGAGAGAAAAGTGAACAATAGGAAGGAAAAGGAGTCTTTGTTTATGTTAAGGCACACATTTTGTCATTACCTGGACACATGCAATAAACTGACAAAATTCCTCAATTATCAAAAAAAGAAAAAAGAACAAGACATACTCTTCTTGCATCTTTCCTTCATCATTTCTGGAGTTTCTGTTTGCTCAACTCGTGCCACCCTGCAGTAAAGAATAATGCACATGAACATCAGTTTAAGACATAAAATCCACATTGCTGGTGCCTGTTCAGTAATACTGTGGATGACAGATGACATCAAAATGTGGTAAGAACAAAAAAGTGGCACACGGTGCACAACTGAGTGAGTCGCTCATGTTGTGTGACAAATGTCACACAATGTCACCTGTCACGTCATGCATCATGTGTCATGTCTTCTGTGACCTATCACTGGATAGACTAGGGCGATATGGAATTTATTTTTTTTATATAATAAATAAATAAAAAAGTCTTGATAGTGACATCATCTGCCCATGCATCTGTCCACTAATAGAACATAACCAAGAACCAATCAAGATTCAGCTTATTATGTGATTGGTTAGCATGGTAGTCTCACATTGTAGAGCGCTGCACTGCTGTGTGGGACCTCGCAAGTTCAAGCCCCAGACCAAACCAACACTCAAGGTCCTAAAATAACTGAGGAGAATGTGCTACCTTTGTTATGACATCAGCAAATGGTTTTGAAGACATTCTACTCTTCTCGGATAAGGACGATAAACCATAGGTCCCATCTCCTCCATCTCTATACTGATTAGCAAGAGACACAAAAGAAACCATGCACTTCTTGCAAAGAGAGGAGAACTTAGCTCAGGGTTTTGTGGTCTAACCTTGTCATTATAACATTGACTCTGAAAAGTTCAGTGGGGATGAGCCAATAAAGTATGCATGTTGATTCTTCCAGTCTCTTAAGACTTTAACCTGCACAGGACTGGCTGCCCATCCTCAGGAATTAGAGACCCTTCTGAGTACATTGTATTATGTTAACGCTAAGGAATATTTTTTTAAATTTGCTTTCTAAAAAAAACTCACTTGTAGCCTTTCTGAATCAGTGTGTCAGAGTATCGCCCAAAAGCAATTTCAGGAAAACCAGCATGCGCAAAATTACCCTGTAAAAGAAACCACAACATTTAACAAATTTATCCAACAACTTGATGTGAACAGATACAATTTAAAATCTTTCACTTCCAAGATCGAAAAACCAATACTCCACACTGTATGCCATACAGTCCTTACAATTATGCATC